GGGTCTCAGACTCAACACCGAGGCCTATATCAAATGCCTTGAGGAGGTAGTGGTGCCCTGGGTCAAGAGTGTGGCTGCTGGAAGACCCTATGTTTTGCAATACTACTCTGCACCATGCCACTCAAGCAAGAAAACCATGTCATGACTGTCAGACGATTTCTGTGACCATATCACCCTTTACATATGGCCACCTAACTCACCAGACTTGATTATTTTTTGTTGGGTGCAGTGGAGCAAAAGACCAATCAAACTCCTATAACTCCAAAGATGAGCTGAAGGCTAGGATTATGGCAGCATTTACCAACTTAAACAAAGAGAACATCCAGAAGAGTTGCAGGAGATTCCAAAGGAGTCTAGAGGCCTTGCTTAAAACCAATGATGATTTTTATTGAATATATTTACTCTTTAGGATTTCAAGATATTTTTGTGTAATTTTGGTAAATATAGCTGTTAAAATGAGATATCAGGGTTATTTTCAATTTTGTGTAATTTAAATGACAATTTATCCATCGCTCCCTGTATGTGTGTGTAATTTTACTGTATAATGTTAACTATAGTCCAGAAGAAATACCCCATTTTATTTTATATTTTATTCTGATGCATATTAATAAATTGTTAATAGATCTCAAAATGGATTATCACTGAAAGAAGTCAACAAAAATAATTATATATATATATATATATATATATATATATATATATATATCCTTTTACAAAGTCACAAATAAGAGTTCTACAATCTCCAGTTAATATCCTTTTTGTTTTTGAAACTCTTTCACTTAATATTCTTCTTTTGTTTAATTTCCCTTTCATTTTCTTTATTTTTTATATGTATACATATAAAAAAAATAATAAATAAAAAGAACCTCCATCTGAAAATATTTACAAATGCAATCCAAACAGCTTTGGATACCTTTCCGATATCTATGAATTTTTATAGCCTTTCAATTTTGCTTAAATCTTTTACTTATAGTACTGTAATTTTCAGTCAAAAATATGTACTTTAATGAGGTTCAAAATTCTTCATTTTATATCCTAGACACTGTAAATACAAGGTTTGGTAACTATTGCCAAGTCACTCATCATAGATCCTGGAATTTGGTTTCTTAGAATAGCTAAAAGTGGCTCCTTCTTCCCTTTTATAGGGTGTGTAAATATATATATATATATATATATATATATATATAATGGACTCTCCTGTTGGTTTTGACGTATAAGGATCTGACAGCTTAGTTGATTCAGTTATGAAATTTTGCGCGATATCTTAAGTGGCATTTAAAACCTGCTAGTGATTTACAAAGGAGGCCACATATGGAGCAAGGGTGAGGATTGTGAAATGAGATCACTGTTAGATTGGCTGACCTTTTAGTTCTTGCTCACGCTTCTTGAAGATGATTTAGACAAGCAGATTGAAAACTGCTGAGTCGACAAAACCTGTTGATCTCCATTCTACCCGCTCCAAGTGTAAGCACTCAAGGGTGTTATGTGGTATATTGACAGTTGACAAGTTACTTTTCAGCTTGTCTTTGTATCTTAGCCATATATATATAATATATAAACAAAAACTATGGGCACATATTATAGAGTTCATCTCATAGACTGAAAAATATCGTATTATGTACACTCTTTTCTGTTGGTGTAGGCAAATAGAGCAGATAAATAATAAAATCTGGAATCTTCCTGAAATTCATGTTGTTATGCATTTTAAATCAACCTACTAAATTGTTTAAAAAGCTGTTTATTACTTTAGAAACAATTTGTTTTCATAATGGCTTAGAGAATACAGAAACAAAGAGCACACAACTCTGATTAATCAGTTGGTTTATTAAATACAAAAGACATGGCAATACTTGTTATTAAATGAGTTGTAATATTTGGTGCAAAGAATTATTTTCTCCTCTGTTTATTAAACATTATTTTTAGAGGATACCCATATTTGATTAGATAAAATATAAATATTAAACTTACAAATTTAATTTCTCAACATTTCATAAAATTAAGTGAGGGTAACAGATTAAAAAAAAAAAAAAATTTCAAAAATAATCTAATTCATTTATGAATAACTCCTGAAAGCTTAATTTAAATCCAAGAATTATTTGGTTTTTACAATAATTTCCAAATCAATGTACTTTCCTTTTCTTTTTTTTTTTTTTTTTTTTTTTTTTTTTTTAACCATAAAAAAGAGGCTTAAATTTCCTATACTAATCATTAACTGAATTTTTAATCCCCACCTTGATGCAAGAAAAATAAGATTTTTAACCAAAAGTTTCAAATGTGCTAGGAAGGATTAAAAAATTTTAATTAAATAACAAAAAAAAAAAAAAGTGATTTTTTTTTCCTCTTAATAACAAAGATTTTGAGGATAAAATTTTGTTTCTATCAAGGTTGGGGCATTTCATCATAGTATGCTCTTTTTTTCAGTGAATTAGTGGTGGTATCTAATTTACACTATAGAAATAAGGTCCAATGAAGGACTTAAAATTGCATTTTGGACATTTTTATTAATTAATTTTTAAATACACACACACACACACACACACACACAATCGTATATTAACATTTATCTTAATCATCTTGGAAGATTTTGTATTAATATTTTTAACTTTGTAATAATGACCAATTCTCTTTATCTTTCTAATATTTTTCAACTTTCTTATGAAGAATTCTGTTCCCATCATTTTTAATCTTTTATTCTCTTAAATTAGGTACCTCCATGAAATCTCTAAAAAAAGAGCATCGCTTGATGAAAAAGACACCAACCTTGCCGAAAACAAAATTTTATTGTCTAAATGCTTATGTTATTATTAAGAGGAAAGACCGAAGTTTTTTTTAATTATAATTAAAAATTTTTCCTTCTTTTTAGAACATTCTAAATTTTGATTAAAAAAAAACAAAAAACTTTTTTCTCTTTGTATCAGCCGAACTAGTAAATAACATAGACAATCTTTAGCACGTTTTTTTGGTATGACACGCATTAATTTGAAAAATCGTGCAAAAGTAGAAATAATTGTTGAATGTTAATGAAACTTTCAGGAGCTATTCACAGATGATCAAAATTATTATAAATATGTTTTTTTTTATTAAAGTCATGGCAGAAATATTTTTTTAAAATATTTATTCCCCCCCCACCCATAAATAATTTTATGACAACGCTAGAAATTCGATCACATCGGGTTTAGTGATTACAATAATTAAAAGTACAGGGCTTTGAGGAATGCAAATCATGTTTTTTTTGTTTTTAATTGGATCCGCAGTACCTGAAAATCAGCTCTGAATTGTAACATACAAAACTCAATAAAACAAAGATATTATTTAATTTCAAATGCTTTTATTTGCTTTTAGTTGTTTTTATGAATATGGACAATATTTTCTGAAAGCAAAAAATTTTTTTCGATGTAAAATGAATTTTTAATACAATTATTTGTTATTTCTTTAATTATAATAGATTTTACATTTAAGTTGTTAAAATATTATAAAATTAGTTAAAAGCTGCATCAGCTTTCCTAAGTGTCCTTATGAGATAGATCTTTTTTAGCGCATTGTAAATTGTATCATTTTGACTAATCAGAAGATCCGCAGTAATTAAGAAATGTAATTTTGTGCTTATAAGCGGGCTGTAATTATAAAGTACGGAAGACCAACCAGAATATAATTAAGTTGCGTTATTTAAGTTAAGCATTGTTCTCTGCTGTTAAAGCCTTTACTTTTGCGAAACACGTGTGGAGAAGTTAATTTGATTTTTCAATTTCAACTGAGAAGGGTACCTACAAGTATCAGTATCATCTTATGAAATTTATATGATCTTATTTTTTATATTAATCTCAGTTACGACATTTTTCCATAAATGAAATATCAAAATTAATAAAATGAAAATGAATAACAGTAAAATGTAATAAATGTACATAAAATTATAGTATTTTATGTACAGTTCTGATAAATTTCATAAGAAAGGTACCTATAAATTAATTAGATACCTTTCTTAGGAAATATGAAATTTAATGTCACTCTTAACAGTCTTATTTTAATTTCTTTTAGAATATATTTTCCATAAAGCATCATAAACGTAAAGGTGAAAGCTAAGTACAAAAAAAAAAAAAAAAAAATTAGACCGCTGAAAGTTTTTCCTTTAAAAATAACGAGGTAAATAATTTGTTCACTTAAATGTAAATTATTTCACTTTTTCTCCTTCTGTAGAACAAATTAGCCTCATGGAATTCGTAAATATGTCATTCATCACCTGTCAAGAGACGCGAAAAGTTTATGACCTGCTTTGTTTTATTTTCAAATTACATCTTTTTAGCACAAAAAGCTAAGTTAAGTTTGGTTCAAAATATTTTAAATAAACATTATAATTTCTGATTTTCTTAAAATAAGTTTTGAAAAAAAATAATTGATATTTAAAAGAATTTCAAAGTGAGATTTCCAGGTTTTTTAAAATAGAAAAAAAATGGTCAATTTTGCTGACTCAAAAAACTAGATTTTAAAACGAAAATTTCGGACGTGCTAGGAATGATTAAAAAATGGAAAAAATACCCCAAAATACTTTGATCTTTCCTCTTTAATAACAAACATTTAGATGATAAAATTTTGTTTTCGTCAAGTTTGGCATCTTTTTCATCATGCTATACTCTTTTTTAGCGATCTTGTGGCGGTACCTATCTTAAATCTTTTTGTTTTACTTTTTTTTTCTATTCTAAATTTATTTCTTTTGTATTAAAGAAATAAGTTTGCAACTATAATAATCAATCTTCATTAAAAAAAATTAACACTTTTTAAAGCCTGTTTCTCTTTTTTTTTTCTCCTCTTTTATTTACTCTTTCTTTTTCTCTCTCTTTTTCTCTTTTCTCTCTTTCTTTTCTCCCTCTTCTATATGCTGAAGGAATCATTAAAATTTCTTGCATGAAATTAACTAGTTTCAAAAGCATTTACCCAAACTGTAAAAAGTAGACAATGTAATTTTTAAATGATTTTATCCAGTTTATTTTTGCTTTCTTCTGCAGAATTCTCTGATAAGATTTGCCGATGCCATGTCAGAGATTATGAAATATTTTTCAGTAAGTATTGCCAGCATGAGATTTTTTTTGGTAAGGTTATACTAAAATTATGATACTTTCCTATATTTATATTTGTCTTTGTTATTATTTTCTATCCTCTTAAATGTTTTGTCTGGGTGGTGATGATCATATCTCAGCTCGTACTTGTAGCTTAGAGACACAATCCTTTCGGCAACACATGAGCTTTTCCAAGCAGTGCTGCCATCTGAGCATTTCCAATGATATCAGGAATCCACAAGGTGTTTGCCTAGCAGGAAGATTCCTGGAAATAGTCCTGAGTGCACCAAACACAAAAGGGACAGTTTAAGTTGCTGCTTGGTATATTTCTCTTATTTGCCCTTCCAGATCTTGGTACCTGTTCCATGTTCTTGATTTTCTTAATCCCAAGGTACTGCAATTTTTGTTAGAATCCATTCATGGCTGTTGTGATATCAGAACAATTGCTCTCTAAACAGAAATAATTACAAGTCAAGATGGTCATATCCTACATGTGCTTAACTTGCTCATTCTCAGCTGCTGACAGTAGTAAATAATTGTACATCTTTTCTGAGCACTCAGGCTCATGCTTCCTGCATCATTCGCAATGTATTCTGAGGGCTACTTTATCATGGCATCATCTGTATTCCTTTTGTGCCAACTGAGTGCAACCAATGACAATGTGTTGCACACTTTCAGTAGCTTTCTTGCTTCATTGTTATTATTCTCAGCAGAACCTAGAAAATAAAATATTTATTTTTTTTTAGATATGTTTTGGAGAAATTTATTAAATGTTCAAGAAATTTCTTAAGAGCAATAACATTTTTCTGAGTCACAGAATTTTAGAACCAAAACAAATTTGTTGCACCAAACTTTCTGTTCTCCCAAAATGAAAGTTTAAAATAATTTCTGTCTTTGTTTGTCAAATTAATTCTCCCAAAAATAAAGTTTTCCAAAATGCCATTGGTGATACACCTATGGGCAAATGGTACAAAATCAGAGAGGTCTGCGGTACGATGTTCCAGAGTTTGAACTATTGCACTAAGCCTGAGGAACTCAAAGTAGCAAGGCCAGATTTATTTTTGAAGTTACCTTCAAGTCTTTGCCTGAAGAAGCAGGACTGACAAGACAGCAGATGGTTGGACCAGGCTGGTTTTGAAATCATTCTCCTAGACTGGTTGCCACCCAAAGCTATAGAACCCAGTCTGTTTTGCTATTTACCCATATCTGGGGAGCAAAGAGATGTATTCATACCCTTTTCCAAGGATATTATTACATGTGAATGTAATGAACTCAACTGGAATTCAAACTCTGTTCTCCAATTCTGCAATCTATTACTCTACTGTGCCTCTTCAAAATAAAGTACCATTACATATTTACCATAATTTCTTGCCACTTATCAGGCAGCTCTTCAAATACCTTTTGACTAAAATTCTGAAGGCCTTGATGCAAAAAATGAATTTTTAAATTTTGTTTTCATTGGAGAAAGTTTTCTTCATCAAAGCATTTAGCAGCAATCAGATAACGGTAATAATAAGTTGGTGCAAGGTTAGATGAATATGGCGGGTAGGGTAGAACAGACCAACCAAGTTCCAAAAATGTTTTCTTGTGTTATTCTTGTTATATACTGCCTTGTGTTGTCATGGAGAACAGCATTTTTCCTTTGAATCCACTGTATACACTGCCATGCAAAAAAACTAAGATATGTTGTATACTTCAAATTTATTTCAACTGTCACATATTAGTTCTTAAGATGATACGTTTGTTATTACAGTCTGTTCCCCAAAATGGAAATTACTGATGACTCAATTGGGAAACTAACCAGTAGGTGATCGCTCCTGGTTGGGTCTCCTAGGAGAGGAGGTATCGTGTTTTAAGAAGCAGGAAATAGAAAAGTGTTTTTAATCAATTAATAAAATTAGACTTTGATATATGACAAAAAAATTGAAAAAATAGATAAATAATAATAATTTCATTATTCGTATGCAGACTATTGTCCTCATCTTTTTTTTGTTATGACATTTCATCCATTGTGCTCTCTGGCCTTCATCAGGTGTATGCCTCTCTGAGTAACCCACAGGGAATTCCAAACAGAACACTTCATTTAACCTACTGAGTTCAAGTACACACTGCCCAGCCTAGGGATTGAACTCAAAATTACTATGTCACCAAATTCATGAAGCAATGTTTTAGGTTATTGTCTGTTTATAGTACTACTTAATTACATTATACACTATACATAGTCAGTGGAACTAGAACAATTTACCCACCCCTGCAATTAAATAAAGGTTTTATTTCAGAATTTCCTGTGGGTGACCTGGATTGGCTTACACTTGAAGACCAGAGGGCACAATGCCCAAAACGTTGTGATAACATTAGCAAAGATGAAGACCATAGTGTAAATGATAACTCCTCATCCCAGAAACTCTAACAGAAATATAAATTTTAGTTAGATATTTAATTATGAGGT